GTATTTTTCTCATATTAAAATGCTAAAATTGAGATTTTCAAACAATAATTAAGTGCAAAATAATAACAGTATCGAACCTCATGACTTTGAAATTTTCAATAATAACAAAAAACTTTTTAAAATTTTTCCACAAATTATTAACTTAAAAAATAAATTGAAAATCGCTTACAAATTAGCAAAAAACATTTAATAGTAAACCAAAGCGCTTGAAATTCCTCGAGAAAAAACTCATCAAAACCATCATAAATATTCACAGAATATTATAGTTATTCAGTATAAATCACAAGTTGCTCGAAATCTTGGTTTAAAAAAGTTGATGGAAAAAACACACGTACTTCGAAATATTGTCAGCACCACATRAACGACCTGCTGTACTTTCAAACGCCTTACATTGACAAGCCCTCTTATACGCATTACAATTATCGCAAAATGTTTTGTATTTCTATATGAACGACTATTGCATGAATTTTAATTGCAAATGTTATCTAACTTGYTCTTTGCGAGGGTGTTATAATGCACAGATGTTTGACTTTGAAAATTCATTGAAAGGGAAAGCGTGATAAGATAAGTGAAGCGAGAAAAACGCCACTCATGCATAATACCACAAATAACACTTCAGGTGGTTCCCAGGAATGATTGTGAATATGACTGCATATACATATGTATATGTAAGGTATGTAAAGCACTTTTGTCACATATCAAGGAGACTGCTTAATTGTGCTCATTCTAGAAGAGATTTTTAGGATCCTTTCGAATGTTATATGACTCTCGTGAAAATTAATCAATGAGTAGAAAATATAATCGTTTCTGAAAGACCTGTTGTGAAACGCAATAGTTTTCCAATAAGTATCATGACAAAGCAATTCAAAACGCACAGAAATATTTCTATCGAACTAACTTTGCGATTCGTCATTTCAAGAAAGTATGAGGACACCTCATTAAAGTTTGTGCATATATATAGTTTGTTCGATTTACTGGAGAGTAACGCTTAGTATATTGGAGACAGCTTAAGCATATAATTTTTTCCTTTTTTTGAAGCAAAAAAAAATCAAGCAAGTGCTGTCGGTATCAAGTACTAAAACTTCTTCCATAAGTTATCTAATCGAAATCGTATCTGTGTGTTTGCTGTGATTAAGTAACTAAAAAGCTTTCAATTGATAATTAGAACTATCAAGATGTAATTAAAAAACAAATTGAGGAACGTGTCAAAATTATTTTATGCTGTCAAATAGCTTTGAACCGATAAGGGAAACCATTCGGAACAATAAAAATGTATGAATGAGATTAAAAATGTGCTTTCCGCAAGCATACAAAAAGGACCGAAAGAAGAAAAACCATTAACTACGGTTGCACCGGAGCTATAACACCCTTCACAAATGCAAAGGTGCCATACAAGAACATGATTTTGATCAGCAATTTTATATGGCAGCTGCATATGTRTATRCATATRTATGTTATGATCCAAACAGTTTCTTAGATATTATACCATTCATTCCCTTGGAAAATGAATCATGAGAACGTTCATGAAGACATCTTGCCAAATATAAAATTTCAGATCGATACCTCAAAAACTGAGAAATTAGTTCGTGTACATACAGACAGATAGCCAGGCAGGTGCTGATCATTTACCATACCATAAATTGTAACTAAATTCCCCAGGTAAATTATATTTCAAAAAARTGTATTTTGTTAAGTTGGTRGGAGTKTTMTTAATTGTCAGCTGCTTAAGTCGGTACACCTCAGTAGTTTGTTGTCTAAAATTTTGTATTGGAAAAGGCTTACGTTGATTCAGTTTTATCAAAAACACAGGCCTACGTGTGGTACAAAGCTGTCAAAGACGGTCGAAAGATCGTTGAAAACATGCTTCGTTCTCGACGATGAAAATATAAAAAAAAAGTGAAGGATGTGGTGCGTGAAAATCGTCATCTCTTRCGAGTTCGTTCATATGTCTTTGGTGGTTATTTTGGGTATAACTTGGGCGTTTCCTTCACTGTGTTACAAACTTTATGTCAAACTTAATACACCCTATTCAGGGTATARAAAAATTAAATACAACAAAATGAGCAACATAATAAATGTAGAAGGAAAAAACTTTTTATACAACAATATTACAGAGAAAATTAATAATAAAATAAGACAACAAAAAGAAATAACCAAGAATGTAACAAAATTGTAAAACAAACCCGAAAAATAATAAAAAAATTACACAATAAAACTAGTAAAAACTAATTTAAAAAAATATAAAATGCAGTTATTTGAAAAAAAAAACTAAAAATATTACGCAACTTAAACAAAAACAAAGTAATAAATCAGGTGGTATAGGTAGGACAGTGGGTTAAGGCCGAGGTATACAGATACAATTTTTTTTTTTTTTTTTTTTGTATAAATGAGAAAACGTTTCTTGTCTACTTATTCACAAAAAAAAGTTAATATCAAAGATGTGTAAGTAATTGTGTGCTAATTTTGATGAATTTGGACAAAAACATTACAACGAAACGTGTGTTAATATAAAGAAGGACARAGGACTTAAATKGAAAATTTCGAAAATTTGGACTACAAACTTTTCTTCATTTATAACCATCTTAATGCGGTTCTCGACTTCGACTTCATCCAAGGTATCCTGCTGATGGTTGTCATTGTTATTGTTGGCGGACGTCGAGCCGGCGGCATCACTGGAATTACAACAAAAGAGAGAGAGAGAGAGAGAGAGAGTGAGTTTAAAAAAGTGACACAATTCAGTATCTGCATGGCGATTTGTTGTAGTTGTAGTGTTTCGATGCAGAAATTGTAATTTGTTCGACAGGTGTGCTTGCGTGCGTGCGTGTGGGTGTGTAAGTGTGTGACCTTCACTTGAGAATTGCTGCAAACTTAACTCGATGGTGTGACGAGCTATTTATCGATGGAATTTRTTGTGTTGTTGGCAGCTTGTTAGCTAATTTGCTGTGTTTTTTTAATTTTTCTATTTTAGTGCGAAATATTTTSTTTACATGTGTGTGTGTGTTTCTGCTTTAATTATTCGTTGTTTTTGTATTGAGAATTATTATTGATCTTGCTCTGTATACTTTCTAGTTTAAAACAACAATTGTTGTTGTTGTATACTGACTATGAGCTAATTACGCCCTTTCCAATAATTATCAGTAATTATTACTAAAAAATCAATAAATAGSTTTTTGCTTGGCAAAATTCTTACGAAACTAGTGAACTAGAACTTTTTATGACAACTTAATTGATTGACAACACAATCAATGTTGTGCAAACAAACAATGTGAGTGTGTGTATATATTTTGGGCTCATACTACATTAGGTTGTGGCCAAATATAAAAAGCTGCTTAGAAAGTATTTTTATTCACTGAACAGAAGAAAATGTCGGACTCTATAAAAAAAATTATATAAAAGATCAGCACGACTAGCTGTGACGATTTAGTCAAGTCGGACTTTATGCTGGTTTGCATTTACTCGTACTAGTCTCTCTCGTTTGAGAAATCGGTCTGAAACTTTGCACACGTCTTTTTCTCCCCAATAAGCTATTCATTTGTCGGAATTGCATATATTGSATTACTATAGCATATAGCTGCCCTACAAACTGAACGAACCAAATCAAGTTCTTGTATGGAAAACTTTTTCATTTGATGAGATATCTTCAAGAAATTTGGCACAGGTTATTATCAGAGCCAATAGTGTAAGTAAGTCCGAAGAAATTTTATAGATGGGATAACTATAGCTAATATCTGCCATAAAACTGACCAACCAAAATCAAGATTGAAGCTATTGCCTACAAGCCATTCTATTGTCTACTAGCTATTCATTTACCCTTCTGAACAAAATAACTGAATTTCTTTAAAAGAATTTCCCTACAAACAAAAAAATGCTTCTTCATACCAACAAATTCCTTTGCGATTAATTGCTCAACAGACAAACAGAAGTTTTGTGAACAAATTAAGTACCACCCTCATGTATCAGCGCAACTATTGCAAATCCAGCTAACTTATCAGGTATTTTGAGTGAATACATCACATGGTTATRTAATGCGCTAGTATTTATTTTCAAATTATAGATCATTATTCTGATGTTGTAGTAAGGTCAGTATTGATTTGTTTTCAAAATAAATTATTTGCACAGAGCAAACATGTGTTCACATGGCTAAGAGTGCTAAAGTGCACATAAATGCATGTGCAAATAAAATTATATATTACAATTSGAATTATGATGAATAATTCCGCTATCATTGTTGTCAGTTAAGTTCCCTTTACTGCTGCCCCCTTGGGCAAAATGTGCCAATATTTGAACTGAATAGCATATTAACGGAAAAAGCAACAAATTCAATTAAACAAAGAATTCTCTGTTATGGAAAATTTAATGCATGCATATTTGTAGTTGTAAATTTTTCAAACGGAAGTGAGGAATTAGACCAACAATGAGGAACTACACTTACCTCACATTTGCATGCCATTTTAGATCGTTTGTTGAGGAAGTAAATAAATTAAATTTTAAGAATAATAAGTTGAATTCTCATCTACTGCTACGAAATAACATGTAAATGAAGTACAAACACAGATTTGAATCGTTTACTGTTTTTTTGCATTTCCTGAGAAAACTTATCAAAAAATGGAAAAAATTTTTGTATAAAAGATAAAAGAGGCATCAAGGAAGAAAACTTCAAAAGGTTTTTAGGGCTTTCTTTAGTTACTATGCCAAATATGAGCCTGGTCTATCAAACAGTTTGTGTACAGCAGCTGCTTAAGTCGATACACCTCAGAGTGCGTTGCATTTTTAAAATGAATAAAAATGTCGAAAAAAGAATTTGTCTCAAAGTTAGAATTTCTAACCAAATTTCGTGTGCGGAAACATTGGGAATATTGGGAAAGGCTTACGATGATTCAGTTTTAGTAAAAACAGAAGACTAAGTGTGGTACAGAGCCTTCAAAGACGGTCGAGAGATCATTGAAGTCAGTCCTCGTTCCGTGAAGATAGTATTAAGGGATTACATGGGTTTAGGGGTTTCAAATAATCGATTTTTTCACTGTCTTATTAAATTCTACAACATCTCTAGAATATTGYTCTACATTTTCAAGTTGAATCAAGTAATAGTTTCGGAGATACAGTCTTGAGAAGTTGTGCGCTCGGGGCTAGCTAGCCTAAGTGCGCCGTCTTTAAACACATTTTCTCGAAACAAGATCCATAACTACTCAACCGATCTTCATGCAATTTTACACAGGTCTTTGAGATACAATTCTTAAAGACTTGGTCGAAGTTTTTTTTTCGATTACAACAAAATATTTTTGGCCGAAAATTTTATTTTTTATATGAGAAAAAAATTATTGAAAAACGGTTGTTTTTTACCGAGGAAATCCAAGTAACCCCTTAAATAAGTGAGAAGGCAAGAGAGCTCGATATCTTTCGTGAATCTGTTCGAAACATTTTGGTGAAATTTTGGGTAATATACGCGTACTTGCTCGAATCGACCTGATAAAATCTTGTTTTCAAAAAGAGTACCGTGAACAGATCTATTTSGACATGCTTTATCGTGCGAATTCCGATCTCACATTCATAGAGAGCATTTTCACTGCCGRTGAGACATGGGTTTATGAGTTTGACATGCAAACAAGTCAAGAATCWTCATCAAAAATTATGTGTGGTCTAGTAAAAACTCACGCCGTTGACTTCAATTCAAAAGTAGCTTGAAACCTCATAAAAATTGCATAACATAAATCAACTATTTTTCCACAAGTTGATAAAGACAGCTCTTTTCACTGTAATGAGTTGCTTGTTCGAATCGCCACTCTCCAAGTATCTTGTTTTCATGCATTGACAGTTTCTGTAATACTACATTCATACAATTCTATTTTAGTTATACAAATTATAGTAATCAGTATGTACTAAGTCCACTCTTAAATGTGAAAGGTCATCTGACCCACGGGAAGTGAAAGAATACAAATAATAAGCTGAATTGGTTAGGTGCTCGTAAATTTCAATWTTGCGCGCTTCACTTAACTCGCGCATATATCATATTTATGMAAACATRTGTATGTATATGAAGTTATGTTCGTTTGTGGCTGACTGATCTATCTCTCGACGTGTCAAGGTACTTTGAGATAATCGACGCATTAACCAAACATCAGCAATCAAATTCAATTAAAGTAAAAAGGCGACAAATATGCGTGATAATTTGGATTTCTCATACATATACATATGTATGTACATGTATGCTCGTAAGTATGTATTTGCTTCAATTGTTCTAAGCGTGTTACAGTGTTGACATGGATTTGCAGAAATTGAAATAAATTGTCCAATTTGTGAAAAGTAAATTATATAAGTATATTAATACAGTTTTTTTTTATTTGTGTTTGTGTATATTTATGTGTATATGTTTATGCCATAGAAAGTTTGGAATCGTGTGACCTCCGGCCATCAACACTTTGGTTCGCTAATTTGGAACGACTTGGGGTATGAAAGATACATAATTTTCTGATTGTCAACAACCCATTGCTCCTACTATTTCTGTTGCAAAAATAGTAGTCTTGTGGGCAAATAATAGTAAGTAATATTTTTTAAATTTAAATTTTCCCGAAAACCCATTCGTGGAAATATTTTTTTCTAGGTTGGAATAACTGTCAGGGAATCATTAGCGTTTCGTATTCGCTTGTCTTTCTGAAGTACTTAAAGTGCATTCGGCGATTTTTACGATGAGTGAAGTTATTCAACAAAGATGTTCCATCAAGTTTTGTTTGCGGAATCAAGTTTCTGGTGCCGAAACAATCAGAGTGTTGGAAAAAGTCTTGGGTGGTAATTGTTMGCCGCGAGSAAGTGTTTTAGATYGGTAAAAAYTATTCAAAGAAGTTCGAGAACGCGTTGACAATGAACTAAGGACAGGGCGGCCATCAACATCAACTAATGTTCTACACGTCAATAAAATAAAGGCAACGGTGCTTGAGTAACGATTAGTAACAGTCAGAGATGAGATGCCAGTAAAGCATTTTACATTTTGAAAGATCATTTGGACATGAAACGTGCTTTCACTGCTTCAAAATCACTAACCTTTTCCAAAAACAGCATCGCAGTAACGTCTGTGAAAGAATGTTTACCGACTAACAAGATGTCATAGAACTTATTATTATTGGTGCTTATGCCACGGAAACAGTCGATTAATCGGCCGAATATCGTGGCAAAGGTAAGCCGAAACCGAAAAAATCACGTGAAAGCAGGTCATAAATTAAGGTTATGTTTTTTTCGATCATCGAGGATATAATTCCTCGACAACCGAAGCTATCAACAAGAAAACTGTTGGTTCTTGCAGCAGAATAATGCACGGTCCGTTCATTCTTTTGTGTGTTTTGAGCGGAAACATCAGATTTTGGTATAATTTTCATATAAAAATCTGGGGTCTCTTCACAACACACAGGTCATTATGCACGCAACCGACTATGTTAAATTCTTGAAGCATGTATGCTTTAGTRCATTGAAGATAATATGTCACTATGGTTGAGTGTACTAGGGCTAAGTGTACAGAAGGAGGGTTTAGGGTTAACGACAATGTAATGGAGTTTCCTCCGTAATACCCGGATCTAAATCTCATTGAAAATGTGTGGAATACAGTGAAAGCGTCTATAAAAGAACGCAATTCCGGTTTGTTCTACCAAAATTAGCTAACTCTATGCTGAAGTGATTTCGATCA